TACCCGTGCTCGTGGGTTTCACCGAAGTGGTAAACGTCTGAGACCTGCATCACTTCGGGCTTTTTTCCGACATTAAGCTGACACGCCGCAATATAACTCAGGCTGTAATACTGTTAAAAGCGGCGTTAACCCAGCTCACTCACTCAATGTGGTTGTGAGTTTTTTCATTTCACCGCTCTAATTGTAAAATAGAGTCGGATAAAATATGCTTTGTCAAATGTAATATTTTATTTTTTTTAATTTCAGATTTTTTTGTGGTTCCGTCTGGTAAACTAACTTATAGTATAATACTCTGAGCGTGAGAACTGGCCCAGTTATGCCTTGTTAGTTGGGATGTGCAATCCATACAAGTATTGTAGCAACTCGAGAACACCCCCAGATATATATGTCCGAATAATCTATGTTTACTTCCCACACTCAACGCGGAATATGTCGTGCCCAGCCCAAGAGGCGACAGAACTCGGGATTGAATAGACAAAATAGCTGTTGATATTTATGTGTTGTATAGTCTATGTAATTTAGGCATCGGGGGTAGTAATATGAATCAAGGCTCTAGGTCGATGAAGCTCTAATGACATTTTGAATACGCCCCTGGTTCCGGGAAATACTAAATACTTTTGCAGGATTTACTAAACACCATGGATCTACCTAAAATAAAGAGTTTTTGGTTGTTGGTTTTTTCCCCTGAATAAACGCCGAGGCGTAGGATGTGCTCCTAGACAGAATCTGTACAAAAAGGACAGAAAGGATTTTAGATCTGTTCAAAGGAATGAACGACACTCATTTCGCTTAATTTAGAACCTAATCAGCAATAACAGACGTTTCTTTAAGGGAGATAACTCTCATCAGTATAAAGTAACGTCAGAGGGCGCTGTATCTTATTAAAATGGCATCCGTACAACCTGCTGGATATGGTAAGGTAGATCTAATGCATGGAAGCATAAATTGTGCAATAGCATTTTTTAAGTTTTCATCCTTGATGATTTCTTGAAAATTTAATAATTGTTGCGAGTTGTCTCATTGGATAGAACGGCGTTGTTGACATAACGAGTCGTAACGGACGCTTTTCTAAGCCATGAACGCCAAAGATCTAGGTCCCTAGATTCTACTTTCTAGGCCTAGTTTTCAATTCAATTATCTTGCCTAATGTTGTCACAGTTGAAATGTGAATATCTTAAAGTTTCAATGGTTTCAAAACACTTTCAAACAGTGAGTGGTCGCCACTTAATTAGTTAAAAACGTAGTCTGTCTTCCGTTTGCACTATATGTCATCATCCCAAAGAGGAATCAAAATCATTCCAGGTAGCGATTTTCTTGTTGCTTATGGTTGTTAGTTCTTTTCGACATAGACATATAGGTGAAGTTTCCATACTCTCGGGGAGCCGCTACAGGATACTTTCGCCAGTAAACGGGTATCTAACCCTAATGATCGGAAAGGGGATCCAAGGGCTAAAGATAGAGTTATTACCTTAATAATTGTCGAAAAGTGGGGTTTCACCCCCTGATCCCCTAGTGTTTATTCTGAAACTAAAGATTCCAAAGATTTTGTTCGCGTTCTGAAAAAAAAATGACGGACGACAAATCCTGTCGCTGTACGCTAATCGGTTGGTCTGATGGTGCACAGTGATCCCGGGTCAATAGCTATCAAGTGTGAATACCCAACCTGTGCAATGGCTTCTATTAGTTCCGTTGTATTTTCAACAGTTAAAAATGATCCGATAGGTGACTTTCCGGACCGACTTCCTATTGTATTAACACTAACCCAACCCTCCTGTTGAAGAAAGGTTACCATTGCTGTAACTTAAAGGACTCTGGTCGGTCGTTGCCTAGCAGTCTCAGTGTGTCACTGTATGTCTTTACAATTTACCCTTTGTCTTGGATATTTTTCACGTAAATTACAAGGTCAAGCATGATGACCACGTACACAAACTCTTTAATATCACTTCGTGCATATATACAGACATCTTCCCTAGGCAAAGGAGTTAACTATATTCAGTTTCCACCCTTGCCGAACTAGGCTGGAATTAAGGAGTTACATTTTAGCTGGACTAACGAGTCTATGCATAGTCCAATCAAAATTTCGTAACGAAATCGATATCCGGTTCGTAAACTGCCGTGCAGATTTCGGTCGATTGCAGGATTTGCAAAGCATGTGTACCAACAACCTAGCGTCAACAGATATTTTCCAAATCTGTTCATGTTTTAATCAAGGTGCTCACGTGATTTGATGCACTTTGCGAAGTAAGACCCGTTTTATTACAATATAGAACTTGATTATCGATCATATCGTCTGCACTGCCATTTTATTTGAAACAAATGCAAGTGATATGTGAGGTGGAATCTGATTGGTCAATAGGAGGGACATAGAAGGGACTTTACTCGTATTAGCCACTGGTGGCGCTACGATCGAACCACGAAATTCCAGCTTAGTTCGGCAAGGGTGGAAACTGGACTTCTATAGTCAGTTAAGGCCATTGCCCCGGAAGAGTGATATACAGACTGAATGGATCCATATAAATGACATAGAAAACGGTGCATTGTCGAATCCTTCTTTAAATCGTTCTTCATTATTTCCAAAAGGTTTAAAAGTCGCATAAATCTTCCCACATTTTTATCAAGATGAAACTAAGTTTAACCTTCTCTTATCCTGAACTTAACTTGTTATTCCACGATTATGGATGTTCTATAATATGGCTTCTTATGGGGAAGGTATAAATCCAGTATGCATATCTGAGGGAAATATAGCATGACTAAATCACAAACGGAATCTAACTCTAAATAACCGTCTCAATGATCCAATAAATAATGTGTAGGTCATTATTTAACGTTGAAAAGTAACATATCTTTGAGGGACATTTTGGAAGCTGTTGTTACCTGTTGTATAGACTGTATCAACTCTGTATTCTTTGAAAAGCAACCAGAATGACCCATAAAACAGAACAGGTGTCAAGGGAACCAATTTGTAGTGAAAGATTAAGTAATCAATAAGTCATTATTCTACCTTTAACGTAAGCCCATGTGAATCTTTTCAACAGGTAGGATGAGGGAAGACACTTTTCAACAGCCAGGGTCACTCTTCAATTATGAATAATGACTAAGGATCACTTTTCAGTTGGTCTCGAGTTTCAAAGAATATATACACGGCTCAGGAAGTGTATTTGATAATGGTGGGAAATTGGTGGAAAGGGGACAGGTGATCCAATCTTAGGGGCGGTTGTTTCTCAAGTGAATACCAGCTACATAAAGTGACGGGAGGATTGCACCTATCTCCACATGCTTGTACCCACACCACCCCTGTAAAAAAAACAGCCCAAGATGAGGGAAGCTGGAGCATTGCCAGGAGAGCAGAAGTTAAATATATAATCGTTTCCCTTTATTTATCATTTCTTCTTTACTGAAGCAGCATCGAAGAACTTCTATCTGTAATTTAGGGCAACTTCTTTAAGGTAGCTGTGTCAATTTCGTTTAATTAACACTTACAACCTTACATTAACCTGACATACAATAAGTTATAACATACTTGTTAATATATACTAAGTAATCAAAATAATATCATGAAGAAATCCACGTTTCAGATTGATTTTGTAAATTATATTCTTAGTATGAGCATTTCCTTGCCATTTGAGTCTAGAATGGCTAATTGCGAGGTCAATTTACGCTGTTATATTTATATAAACAAGTGTTCAATTATCCAATTATATTTGGTACCGTATTTTTCAAGGGTTCGAACGCTGTTGAAATGTCAATACATAGAACACTTAGCCTTTCAAAGACTCTAGGGAACATTATTGTAAACAATCGTAGTTGACAATCCATTATTCTTGTCATTTAGTGTATTGACTTTATCTTCAGTTAACTTTACTATTTACGATCCATCAATACCAACCAACCAATTATTTATTGTAAGCAAGCTTTCTTTTGTTTGAACATGGATATTCCAAGCGTAGGTAACAGAGGAATTGACCAAAACACTGAAAGTGAAATATTTGTAGTATTCAATGCATAAAACCGAAAGGCTGCTATATGAAGCTCTCCGTTGAGACTAATCATTTTGATCGCGTGTAATTCTCGTTTTTCAACCCCTCTCTTTGTCAATACACGAAGGAACCATGCATAGCGCCTGGTCTGGTAATTTATTCATTTTCAACAAAGTTATACCAAACAGGTTTTTTGATGGCCGCTTATTGCTTTCAAATAAATCCCATGTCTCCCCTACTCTCCCCCCACGCCACACCCTTACATTTGTGAAAAAGACACAGTCTAGAAGATAGACGATTCCTTGGCACATGATGCATTCAGGAAAATGCGAAGTAATTAGTTGGTATTGTGGAACAAGGCACAACTGGCAAAGTTTGAACTAAATCCACCCGTTCAGTCACCCGGTGTAAGTCATATGGAGTTGAATTAGGGTATTAAGTAAAGTTCATTACGAATGTGGTGTGACAGTGTCGCCTATTGGTGTCTGAGTAAATTGTTAACTGTATTCCATATTTGGGCTTAGGAGTTCATATAATTAACATGCAATACTTAAATCAATGATTATACCTGGTTAAATGACCCGCCAATAAAGCAGTGAAAGTACACGAGAAATGAGTAGCTTGAGAGTCTTCATAATATGTGTATGCTGCAATGATGAAATAAGTTGCTTGACAATTGTATAGGAATACGTAATAATATCGTGAAACAGGTGCGTTCATGATCTGTAAAAAGAATACAAAATAATTGATCCTCAAAATGATTCATTAATATAGGTAAACTGTCATATGGGATTCACAAGAGATTAACCGAAACAAGCCCCTATTCAACCCCCTTTCTGACATCTGTCCACTATCGCGATAAATTATCGGATCTAATATGAGCACATAGCCCCCCCTAAGGTCAGATAATTCCGCAGCCATCCCCAGTTCCCCTGTCACTCGCACCCAGCTCTGCTTCCAAGGTAGCGACCATGCTTACAACTGTAGTTAAGGCAGCTCGTAAATGATTATACAGTCTCTTACCTCCAATAACAAAGTCATCGCTCTTTGCAGTCTTTGGTCTGGAACTCATTTCAATAGCATGGACCTGTGCCGACGATGACATAAGTTTAGCTGTATCACTCTCGATGACGGTATTCTTGTTCGGCGGGGATGTTGTGTCGCTCACGTCGCTAATGTCCTCGAGTTCAGGACTAACGCGGTTCGACATGAATGAAGTTTACTAAATGTGTGATGTACACATACCGGTCGATACAAAGCCAAGATGGTCTGCAGCCATACACTCCTATCTAGAATGGATTCGACCATTAATGTCAACCCAATAATCAGGAATCACCGGGCTGCTTCTGCAAATAACCTGAGTGAATCGCTGTGCACAGTCGTTGTCAGCGTCGTATTTACTTTGCATATTGTGCCTTGTTAAACTAAACATTGTGATTGCGAAACATCGCCATATATCTGTCATTGCACTCAGATAATCAAAACAGTATATCAAATATTTGTAGTTGTTTATTTACACTTCCTTCTCGGCCAATATGAGGTCATGTGACGTCATGTGGAAATATCCCATGCTAACTATATCTCAGGGTCACGTGCTTGTTATCGCTTCGTGACGTCAAAACGGGGGTCGTATCAACAGTTTTTGGTGCGTTTGTCTTGTTGATCAAACACAATTATCTCCAATTTGCGTCCATGTTTTGACTGCTATTGCTATTCCTGGCCCTGCGTTTGTAAGCTGGACCGCATGTCAGTAATCTTATGTCAGTGAGTCGCTAAGTTATCGAAATCGACACGGGTCTCTCCCAGACTATTGAGCAACAACTCGAGGGCTCACACACTCGTGACACAGTCGACTGTTCCATAAATTGTAAGCGACTCGTTTGAGAGCGGACATAGTATCTCTACAGTCTGTACAACCAAGAAGAAAATAATGGCTTCAAATAAAGGAGATGGAGGCTTTCAACGCGTCGGCCCAGAAGGTAAGTCTACTGACGAAACAGTCTCAAATCTGTAGCATAGTTTGATAGCTGGGTTAGCAATGGATGCGTTTTCAACCTGTAGCCAGCAGATCAACATAGCACAAGTTGGGCGTGACAAGCGAACGCACCAGGTGAACAGAAACGAAGTGTTAGTGTTATTTAGGGTATTCACCCCTGGCTGATGATAATTAACAAAGCAAAAACATCTTGAGATGTAGTGCATGTTGTCAATGTTGTTGTAGAGGAGTGAATCCTGAAAGGCTTGAAATGACACACAGTACAAGCAACTAGTATTAACAGTAACACCAGAACTGGGTGACACGGGTGTCGCCATATTTCAGCCGTGTCATCAGTACCCGTGTGGTTATGGCATTTATCATCACCATAGAACTATGTAGCCAGAAATGAAGACGGGAAAGTAAACATGACTTGCATATTGTGTCAATAACCCGCATAGGTTGTGTTTGAAGTATCTCAACAGGGCAGATGCAGTTAATGATGATGAAACACGCCTTTTCAATCACTGAAACCAGTTTCTTTTTCAGGTCGTGTGTTCTCATTGTTCAGGTTGAAGGGAGCTCTTATATTTTGTTGATCAATTAGTACAGTTAATGATTAAAGTCAGTGAAGCATGAATAAATATGGCATAGGTCTAAACAAGTTTAATTATGTATGTACAGTCATCCTTCTTTAACAAGTGACACTGTGGAATCATTGTTTGTACAATACGATTCTAGTTGGCCAGAAAACTACTTGTACCTGTCCCTTCACAGACCTTACTGCTGGACGGTAACCCTAATAATCCGAATATTAGCACTTGCCCAAAGTTTTGTTTGGGTGGTTTCTCCCTCACAAGTGGAAAATTCCAGGGTGTTTTATGATAGGTGTGTAAATAATCAGGGGAATGGCAGGAAAATCCCTGCCAATTAAATCTTTTTGTTAGGTAACGTGATGAGTCAAGTAAGTTTCTGTAAGTTGAAACTTAGTCTGTGTGAATTCTTGTTCCTTATTAAGTTATTCTTCTCAAATTATGATTGTAATGTAAGAGTACACACATAACTATTTTGTGATATGCATCTGTGGCTTAACTTAGCACTCATCAATATTCCAGCTACCGTATTCGACGTAATAAGCGCCCAGGGCGCTCTCAAAATTAGACATAGGGGGCTCTTATTAGAATATTATTTTGGTGAAAAAAACAGAGTTGAAAGATAAATTTTGTGGTTTATGCTGACAGCCTGAAATGTTTATGTACAACAGATATAGTTTGCCAGAATTCAATTGCCCATAATAAAGGGTGCATATATCACACAAGTGCGTATTATACGCGAATAAATAAATCTTGTGTACATTGATCAATCGGAAGGGATGCTAATTGGGATTGTTCACTAGTCAATATATTAGCAAATAGCACCATATGCACCCGCCACTATGTGGGATGGGTGATGTAGAATTGGGCTCCATCAGCCTGACATCAATAATGTTTTTCAAAAGTGTGATTGATACCAGGATGATGCAAAGATGATTAAGGTATGACATGGATCTAGATGAAAACATTGCCATCAAGGACAAGTTTTCTCAGAAACCTCTATAGATGACATTTCAAACACATCATTAAGTGAAGACAATGTTATCAAGTTTGAAAACTTCTATAGAGAATTCATATTTTACAGGGTTGTGTCCCCTTTTTGATCTTTTGTATTTTTTGATGCACATTACTGCCAATAGGGACAAGTTTTCTTGGAAAGCACCCCATTTCTAATCCATCATTATGTGATGACTAGGTTGTCAAGTTGTCAAGTGTTGATTGGGTTATTAGGTTTAAAACCTACCATCGAGAATTGATATTTTAAGTTGTGTCCCTTGTTTGATATTTTGTGAAGCTCCTTCCAAGTGTGACACCTTCGTTACCCTCTTGGTAACATCGCTGCTGTCAGTGTGGAAGCGGCCATTACAAGAATTTCAAATTTTTCATTTTTGTGTATGTCTTTGGGAATGCCTTCATATTGAATTTTTAAAAATGTTTACAAGAGACCAGATTTCGAAAATGAATTTACCTTTTTGTTTGTTTAATCAGATTGATTCGAGATTGCAGACTAATGGAAAATCACCCAACTTTCCTCTTATATCCTTACTAGATCTATACCAATTACAGGATAGTTGAAATGAAATAGAAATTCAAATTAACAAACAAAGAAAATAATTTAGCTGGGGTAAGAGTATTCGGCGTCACCGCAGTCATCATTTGGTTGCAAACATAAGGGTCAGCTGGTTGCGAGCTCAACCCCAAGCATGGTTGTGGCATTGATAATATGGAGAGCTCAAACCCTAGGGGCTACCGATGTGAGGAGCTTGATAATTTGTATATACATATGGTGCACATTACTGCCAATAGGGACATGTTTCCTTAAAAAACACACATTTTGGATGCATCAAGTGATGAAAGGGATGGTGGGGTAGTCTAGTGGTTATAGCGGTTGCCCGTCACACCGAAGGCCCGGGTTCAATTCCCCATATCAGTACAATGTGTGAAGCCCATTTCTGGTGTTCCAGCTGTGATATTGCTGGAATATTGCTAAAAACGGCGTAAAACCATACTCAATCAATCATTCAATCATTCAATCAATCATTCAATCATGAAAATGTTTCAAGTTTGAACACCACCTTCAAGAATTGGTATTTTACAGAAGCATTTCCCTCAGAAGCTACTACAGATGACATATTGAATACATGCTAACGTTAAGTGATGACAGTGTTATCAAGTTTGAAAACCACCATTGAGAATTGCTATTGTATAGTGTCAAGGCCCTTGTTTCATTTGTATATATTAATATTTATTTTCCCTTTCCCAAACGATCAATACTTCTTTGTGAAACATTGTGAACACATTATTTACATACTGAACTGGTGCATATTGAATGCAAGTTAGGAATTTTTAATATGTGTTGTGTTTCCAAGGAAACAAGAGACTTCTATTAAGATGACATATAGTTCGTTTCCAAAGCCCAGTGGGTTCAATGTGTGGAGTCCATTGTAACGTCCAATGCCATGATGTTGCAAAAGGCGGCATAAAACCATACTCACTTATTTCCACAGAATAACCCATAAACCTTTCAGTATTTCTTTGGGTGACTTTGTATACAAAAGTGTCTTTTCCTTATTTTCTGTGATTCCAAGACAGCAATTTCATGTGAGTGTAGGGTTTGTTTCCTGTGTCAAATTGGTTAAACCTTTGAATATTTCTCAATAAATTTACTCAAATTTAGGCAATTTAGGATTGGTGTCTATAATCACATAAGTTAAAAATACCGTATTCGACGTAATAAGCGCCCCGCTCTAATAAGTGCCCACGGCGATATTTGCTATATATTGGCTAGTGAACAATCCCAATTAGCACCCCTTCAGATTGATCAATGTACACAAGACTTATTTATTCACGTATAATATGCACTCGTGTGTTATATGCACCTTCAATTATGGGCAATTAAATTCTTGAAAAATATATCTCTCATACATAAACATTTCAGGCTGTCAGCATAAACCACAAAATTTATCTTTCACCAAAATAATATTCTAATAAGAACCCCCTATTTCTAATTTTGAGAGCGCCCTGGGCGCTTATTACATCGAATATGGTATGTGTTTTCCATTGTAAACAAGGTAAGTAGGAGATATGGATGACTTTGTATTTTTGTTCTTGAATGAGATATACACCTGATTATTATAGGATACTCTATAAGTTCCAAAACAAAAACAGTTACTAGGAAAAGCAGGTTTTCATGAGTTGTTCATGTTGATGTGTTAAGTGGAGCTCTCCCATGATTAACTTACCCTTTCGTCTATTACCTGATGATATCTCTATGATCGTATATATGATGGGCTATAAATAATTAAGAAGTGGGCTGGGTGCACTGTTTGCCCAGAGGCACTGAGTAAGTGTAGAGTTGCATACCTTTGCTCTTTCAGGATCCAGACAGGTTTACCCCTTAGTATGGCCCATGGTGTATCAGCACCATACCAATGCTTGAAGTCTCAAGGTGTACCAAAGTTGAATGCATCTGTAATCTAGATTCAGTCTGTGACTTTGGCCTCTAGTCTGAAGCCCCAAACTAGTAAAATTTTGCTAATAATTGTCCATTCCAACACTAAGATCTGGGGCAAGTTCAGGGTGTTGAACTGAAATGTGTCTGGCACAGGCTGTACAATATTTTGGGCGTTCCTCCTAAGTTGACAGGCTGTGATTAAACTGGAATGATATTCCACGCTGTGTCCACCCCAACTCATTCGCTATGATTATTGGAAGAAATATCTTGCTTTGCATTAAAATTTACTTTCGGCCCTAGTTACTTCAAGTAAGACCAGGTGACATGTTATATCTGTTTTATCTAATCAGGCTTGGGCAAAGGTGTCTGCAGAATGTGTCTTGGTCATTATGAGATAAAGGTCCTGAGCAACCAACGCATGAGGGGGTACGAGTGGACTAGTCATCAACTAGTAATTCGCTGCGCAGAGTTGCATCCCTTAGGCAAGAGGGGGTACAAGTTGGCTAGTCATCAACTAGTAATTCGCTGCGCACAGTTGCATCCCTTAGGCAAGAGGGGGTTACGAGTGGGCTAGTCATCCACTAGTAATTATCTACGCAGAATTGCATCCCTTAGGCATAAGGGGGTTACGAGTGGACTAGTCATCGACTGGTAATTCGCTGCGCAGAGTTGCATCCCTTAGGCATTCCCTTAGGTTTCGTTTTGTGTACATTGAGTGATTAATTACTGTAGTGAATGAGTGAGTAAGTGAGTGAGTTTGGTTTTACCTTGCTTTTAGCAATATTCCAGCAATATCATGGCAGGGAACACCAGAAATGGGCTTCACACGTTGTACCCATTTTAGGAATCAAACACGGGTCTTCATCATGACAACGGAACACTTTAACCACTAGACTACCCGACCGCCCCTGAAGTGAATGAAGACTTGAGAAACACCTGCACTAAAGGCTGATGTTC